ACGAGAGCATGATGTACAGCAGAACGAAAAGTGTACTGTGTTTAGTAGGAATATTGTAACTCATTCATAAAGATAGGAAGAAACAGTAAATTGGAAAAAACCTCTCTTTCACCTTTATGTGTATGATCTATGACATAGCACGTCTTTGTTTTCAATATTGTTTTATATGCTTGGATAGAAACACGAAAATGCACAAACAAATCGTTTAAACCACACTTCTTTGTCGCAAAAATTTAAGTAGATCGATTCGTCGCAGTAAAGAACACCTATTACGTTTATGTAAGTGCGTCTCTTTATTTGCGTCAAGCTTGTGAGACTAAACTGAAAACTAGTTTGTCTAACATTCGTTAGAAATCTCGACGACATGAGATTTTATGCGCTCAACTGGTCCGATGTCCAACCTTATTACAACATGTGTTGTAATTATCTCGAACTGCACCAAACTATAGACAAAGCATATTTTAAATATTTTTCAATGCTTTCGTTTCGTTCGACGTATTGACTTTTAATCCGTATATATACCTTTGAATCAAACAACCATTCGAAGCTCAACGACATGTTGCAGAAAAGCGAAATAAAACTGGATTTCTAATATAAGAAAGTACCTGCAGCGGGCTTAACAGACGAAGACTGTACCATGGAACCTCTCCAGTGGTTATGTGTCTTTAAAAGTGATGCATTGACTCGCAAATTGCTTATCAGTCTAGTGAGACTTCGCTGAAATCTGATGGTAAAATTCTCTCTGAGACAAGCATTCACGTATTTCTTTTATCCAGTAAAACTGAACTGGTTATGCTTACCGCACGCCAAGAAAAGCATTCTGCATGAATCTTAACTTCTGATCCTTCTTGTCAAAACGTTTAACAAAAACTAAAAACTGAGCGCATTTTTCTGACGTTCCGTAAAACATTTCATCAACTATCGGTCGGGTCGGGTATATCTTGTATTTCCTAGTAAACATTTTCCTCTTCCTTCAAGGTGTTTTTTTGCTTCAGATATTCGTATAACTTACAAATGAGTGACGCAACAGCGAAACCAACGGCTAGTTCAGAAAAATTGAAACGGCAAGCCAATGGAGCATTTAAAGAAGGGAATTATAGTCTGGCAATCGAATTATTTAGCTATGCGCTTGAACAAGTGCCGAAATATGCGCCATACTTGACGAATCGTGCTTTGTGTTACTATCGTTTGAATGAAGCCGATAAAGTTTTAAAAGACGCTCTTGCAAGTATTCAGTCTGATCCAAAATGGGTCAAAGGCTACTTTTACAAGGGAAAAGCATTAGAACTATTGAACTGCAAACAGGAAGCCCTAGCTTGCTATCAAAAATGTTGTGAATTGGAGCCAGATCAAAAAGAATATGCAAAAGTTCTGAGGGAATGCATGGAAACAACAGTCGCAGCAACACCAGCAAGAACTACGGTAATGACCGCGGCAGAACAGCAAAGCTCAAAACATAATGTGAAGTGTGATGTGTGTGGATGTTATCCTATAATTGGAACTCGATACAAATGTTCGGTATGCGATGATTATGATTTGTGTTCGAAATGCCTGAGCTCGAATCCAAATCAAAAAGGACATAAAGATACTCACCCCCTAATTCCTCACAAACAACCTCAAGATTTGCCAACAACACTTTTAAAGCGACCTTCGACTACCAATTCTTTTCGCTCGGCATCCCCAATCCCTGTTCCGGCGCAGTGTCAACAAATCGATGTCGGTGTTGCAATTCACAGTTATAACATTGTTTTGGTCATTGACGTATCTCTGTCAATGATCGGTTACGAGGCAAACAACAGAATAAATTCGTTGAAAAATCGCTGGCCAGTAACTGAACGTGGAATCATTAAAATAGCCAGTCAGCTGGGTCTCAATGATCGTTTGACTTGTCTTGCATTCAATGCAAAAGTTTACGAAGTGATGGATGGTGAATCGGCAAACGTTGCAAAACTAAAATTGGCTCTTATTCTATCTAGTTTGAAACCGAGTATTGACGATAAAAATTCCGGCACAGCATTGTACGATGCTATCAATGCTACCTTTAATGTTTTGTTGAGAAACAAATTGGCAGGACTTTTATTGGGTGATTCAAATCGAAATCAGATTATTTTGATAACAGATGGAGAGGATGTAAGCTCGACACAGAGTTCACTCGCACAAGCATGCAAACAAATGAAACAAATCTGTCAAGATATGGAAACGGATATGCTGATGATTGGAATCGGACTCGAAGCACAAGGAAGATATGCCATGAATCGATTGAAACAACACGGAGGAGATAGATGCAAATTTTTGGATTTGACAAGTCTATCCGAATTGGACGACATTTTCGATCGGCTGTCAATGGTATTCACTCAACGGACAGCTGTTATTAATGTTTAGACGTACATTAAGGAAATCATTATTGTCATTTTATTCTGGAAACAATCGCTATACAATAAAATAATCCAGACAATGGAATTTTCCTTTAAAATAATGTTGCTATGCGTTGAAGCAAGGACTGGACATGATGCTGATCAAGTATGGCTGAACAACTTTTTTGCTTCTCTGATCATCTGGAAAACAATTGGCTGGATGCGGCTTGTTATCTTCTTTTTCTTCTTCTTTATCTTTTTATTGATAGTAGAAAAAAAACAGTAGTAAGACAAGATGTTACATGAATTGTGTAAAAAAGGATACATCAAAAAGCATAAGGGCTTATAACTACAACAAAAACTGGCAGACATACACGTATATAACACATCAGAACGAACTCAAACATAACTTTAAATTGCTTTTAAAAGATTTAACATTAGATGTTGATGCAACGTACGAAGGTAAATTATTCCAATCAGAAGAAGTAGAGTAGAAAAAAGAATACTGAACATTAGTTAGAGTGGTAAACGGTACAACGACACGCAGAGGATTCAGACTTGCATTAAGTATCTCAGACCTCCTAATATTAACAGGTGGTTGGTTAATGAATGAGCTCATTGCGGTTTAAAGTGCAAAGACGATGGAATACAAGATACTAGTTGACTAGACGAAAATAGAGGCGGCGATTAGTTAAATTAGGAAGGCCTAAATCATTAGCGAGTTTGACACTATCTGTAGTATAATCGAACTGTCGAGTTATCAGTCGAGTGGCAAACTTTTGGACAGACTCAAAGCGTTTAGTGTTCGTGATAAACTTAGTATCAAAAACTGCGCTGTCATAATCAAGCTTGGCTAAAACGCAAGTTTTGTAAAGGTGAAGTCGAAGAAAAGCCGGAGTTTCAGCAAATGTTCTTCTATTTATGGCACCTAACATGCGACGGTAAGGAAAGCCGTCAAAATTCGCAGCGGTGAATTTATTCACCAGTATATATTTTTTTATTCACCGGTAATTTGATTGGAAACAAAATTGACAACAGTATTATTCAATTTAGTCCAAAGTGTCTTCTTAAAACCAGGATCTGAGTGACATTTTGAAGCCCCATCGAGGTTACGGACGTTAGTTTAAGCTTTTTTATTTTAAGAAATCAAAAGAAACAGGAAAAGAAGACCAAACAAGTGAAATCGTTGTCCTAAGGACTACATTGTATCTCCTGAGAGGAACATTTTAACAGAACAAAAAAGAACATCACCATGAAATAAGAATGAACAGAAAGAAAAGAAAAACATGGGACTTAGAGAAAGAAGAAGAGAAAACAAAATGACAGTAATGAAAATAGTTGTAGGAAACTGCGTAAACAGAAGAAAAACTTCTGATATTGAAGTTTTAAGAAACAAGGTAGTGGACCCGTTAAATTTGTAAAAGTGAAAAAAGTAGAGGGCGTAGTCTATTAGAAGCGCTTACTGGCAGTAATAAAATCACTCACAAACTGGCACACAGATAGAGATCGCTGGATAATTGTGTTCTAAGTAGAAGTGTATCAGTATCAAGAGTAAGACCTAGATTACCCAGCTTAACAGCCAGGATTGCTCGAGCTCGATCGTACTTTGGACATTCCAGGAGATAGTGTTTAGGATTTTCAACCACCTTTATTGACGGAGACATAGAAAAGCAGCTTTCACAGAAATGTTTACAAACAAGTTTATGTTGCTTGAGATGGAAGTTAAGCACGGAGAAATCTACTCTTAAGCGGCAAAGGCATCAACTCGACGATGTAATATACATGGTAATTTGTTGATAAGTGGAAGTACAATGTTTTTAAACTCTTTCCGAAATGTCTCAAGCTTCTGTCTAACATTTAGCTGAGGATGTGTTGAGATGAGATCAGACCATTCTCTAAGAGCCGTCGAGAAAAAGGACAATCGAAAAAAAGAACTTTTATCTGCATAATCATATAATTTGGGCGCCCTGTCTCGTCTTAAGCTGTACTTAGTTTTCTTTACCTCTACATATCTAACATGTTGAGCACTTAATCTAACTAAACCAAAAATAATCTTAGAAATCATGCACATTCTGGTAACATAAAATAGCTGAGAGAACGAGTGCCAATGTTGATCCTTGAACAACTTATCTTTAGAAGTATCTCTCATGGCACCACTAACAGTCAGGCAGATCTGATACTGACAACTCTCTAATTTTAGAATATTCTTTGCGTAGTCAATTAGTATATTTCACTGCCGTGGTTAACTAGAGATTGAATAAAAGATTTGTATCAGCATTCAAATACTAAACAATTGAGATTCCATTTAAGAGGTCTCATATAGTTATGAACGAAAGTTATTTTTCCAATTACATAGTCAACATGAGAACCACAATAGATTTGAGGCGAGAAATAGACCTAGGCGTTTATGAAGAGTAACTTCGGGAACAAGTTTGTTCTGAATTAATAACGGTGAATGGTATGACTTTAAAGCTATCACACGTTTATGAAATAATTGGGTCACACATTTTTCAAAATTTAGAGAAACTTGCCATGTAGAACACCACTGCACTATTTGTTCAAGATCTCTGTTTATTGGGTCAGTTGACTTTTGAAGAGAAGGTGAGTAGTGAAAAAGACTGGTGTCATCAGCATACAAACTGAAATAAGATTCAAGACCCTCTCCTAGATCATCAATATAAATGAGAAATAAGAGAGGACTCAGAATTGATCCTTGAGGGACGCCGCAGTTTATTTCCAAAAAATCAGACGAAAACCATCAACAACTGTTCTTATTTTTCTATTATTTAGATAATTTCCAATCCACTTAACAACTTGTTCACATACCCCTTTTTGTCTCAGCTCGAAAATTATTCCTCTGTGCCACACTGTCGAATGCCCTTGGGAAGTCAAGGAATATAGCTCTTACAAAACCTTGTTCCTCAAGACCTTCATGAATGTATAAGATTTAATAGTTGATTAACACACGAGTCCCTTTTAACAAAACCAGATTGCTGAACTGAAATGAGGTTATTCGAGAAGAGGTAGTTGTATAAATGGTGTAGTTGTATTACGACAATATCACAGAACTGAAGCGGATTTCTGATCTCAAAAATGGGTTTCTGCTCTATGTACTAGTAACGAGAGCATGATGTACATCAGA